GATAGGTGTTCTTGGTGGATTCTAGAGAGAAATGAAAGGATTTCGATGCTAGAGAGAGAGGGCAGGAAAATTCTGTGGAAAAAGCTGAAGGAATGGCATTTATACAATGCCAGAACGACATTGTTTTGGAAGTCCTAGACCTGTGTGCTGATCCGCGCGTTAACCCAACCCGAATCGTAAGTTTTTCTTTTGCATGTTAATTTCATTTTTTGATTTTATTTTTTATTAATTTTATATTTTATATTTTGATTTTATTTATTTCATTTTACTGATTTTATTAGTTATTTATTTTTATTGAGTGATTTGCTATTTATTAAATATTTTGCAACAAAAAAAATCTATTTTTTGAAAAAATAAAAAAACAATAAAAAAGGAAAAATAGAAAGGAAAAATCTTTTTATAATAAATTTGTGAATTCTACCAAATTATTGGAGAATTTTTATAGATTTAATTTTTAAAATGGAATCCACCAAATTATTGAGAAATTCCATAAATAAATTTTAAAAAATAAAAATAAATTTATCTTTCAAATGATTAGAGGATTGATTTTTAAATTAAGTCTTACCAAACTATTAAAAGATTTAATGAATTTTCAAAACAATATAATAAATAAACTTTTTATAAACACTTTTATAATAAAATCTCACCAAACTATTAAGAGATATGCATCAAAGTAAGTCCTACCAAATTATTGGGAGACTTACTAATTTTTTTGAATAAAATATATTAATAAATCTGACGATAAAGTCTCTTTGGGATAGGCTACTAGTTTCCATGAATACTCTTGAGGTAAGAGAATTATCCTAGTTTGCCACCAAACTATTGGTAGGAAATCAATTATTTGTTTTATAAGCCTAGCTAGGAAATCAATGGATAAATTATTTGTTTTATGAGCCTACTTGTGTAAGGTTAAGGTTATTTCTGTTATTTTGGTTTATCATATTATTTATCTTGATGCTTAGATTGTATTAGATTATTCTCAGTGTGATATTTTGTAACCTTTATGTGGTTATTTTGATAGGTTACCTAAAATTCTGTGTCTTTTTCATGGATAAGTTTAAGAGAAAGGGTTACTGGTAGAAGTAGATCCAAAAAGGCAAATCCAAATAAGTGTTTTTTGATGTTGGTAGAGGAAGAAATGATGGCACTTTTGGTTCAAGAGAAAAAGCTATTGGCAATGTTACTATAAAAGGAAGAACTAATGCTAATGTTGGTATCAAAGGAAGAGGTATTGCAAATGTTGATACATAAGTTCCAGCTACTACTACAACTGTAAATTTTGGCATAAGTTTAATGGGAAGAGCTGCTGGAAATGTTACTAAAGGAAAAGGAACTTTTAAGCTAAAACTTACTCTAATTAGAGGAAAGTGTAGGATAGTGTTGATGGTAACCATGCATCTGATAGGCAAACAGTTAGCAATCACACTACTAGCACAAATTAAGAAACTAGCAACCAAAAAGCTAACAGCTAAGCAACTAGTTACAAGAAGTTTGGAGGCAATTTGGGAATAGTTCCTACATGCTATTCTAGTAATGTATGTTGATTTATAGTTCTACTTGTTGGGTGGAAGTTAGGAACCAGTTTAGGGTATAGTTCTTTTTGTATGGAAGTTTATATGGTATAGTTATTTTTGTATGGTATAGTTCTTTTTGGGTAAATGTGATATAATTCTTTGGGTGAATGTTGATGAACCATTTTAGGGTCTAGTCGTTGTTTATTTATAGCCAATATCTTTATAGGTTTCATAATGTACAATGCTGCTAAACTAAAACACAACTTGTTTCTCATATCACTATGAATTTTTTGCCTTCATGTTTTTTGCTATGTTTATTAATCAAACAATGTTGATGGTAGAAATGTGGTTGTTTGCAAATGTAGTTATTATGTGTTAACAAAAGTAGTAATTAATGGAAATGTGGCATTTTACAAGTTTACTGTTTGTGTCATAAGTCAAATAACACAACTACAATATAAGAAAATTGTATATATTAATCACAGAATTCATTGGGTTATTTCCACAAACACTTGGTATAACTAAAGCATTAACTCTTTCTTATTAACTTCAATATTGGAATATCAATTTTTCAATTTCATAAATTGGTTTCTAGAACTTCTTGAATTCAAATGGTATACAAAATTACCATAAATAAAACTAGAACAATTAAACAAATTAAAAACATCCCTTTTTTTTTCTCTAATATAAGTTTCAACAAGTTCTTCCTTTAATTTTAGCTCCCTCTTTTCTGTTTCAATTAATTCTCCTTGCAAACTCATTTTTTTTGCTGAACACAACACTAATTCTTTAAATAACTATTGATTCTTTGAATTTGACATGAAAATCTCATATTCCATTTTCTTGATTGTTTCTTCCAATTTAACTTTTTTTTTTTTACAAAAATCACATGATATTTCATTCACCCACTAGAAGAAATTACATTTTTAACTTCCCTAACAAAAAATGTAAGATTAAATACGTTATTTCAATTATTTTACAAGTTATTTCAAAATTAAATGAAGTAAATCTCACATCAAATTTGTCACACCCATAAAATTTTTGCCTATGATTGTTCCTTGTTCCAAATGTTCTTATAGATGATTACACACCACAATAACACACTTTTTCAAAATTTGATTACCTACATACTGAAGATTGTGAAAAATTCATGCTTTCACATTTTTTTTTTTTTGAAAAGTTTGAATATGAGAAATAACAAACAAAAAAAAATGGGAAAAGAGCTTGGGTTTATTCAACTTAAGAATAAATTGTGTTAGTGAAAAGTAAGGAAATGACACGAATACATATCTCAAGATAGTTAAGTATCATTTTTTAAATCTCAGGGCGTAAACTTAAATTGAGTTTAATTATAAGGTATATTTATGTAATTTACATATTAATTTATATATAATTCACATATATAAAAAAATAAAAAATTTATATATATGTAAATTCAAGTTGGACCAAATTCGAATTTTAAATTTTTGTTTAAAACTCAATTCAAAATTTAAACGAATCTAAAAATTATGTCTAAATCCGTTTAACGGACTATAAACTTTTGTTCAAAACCTTTTAAAACTTGAGCAAGTTTTCAAATTCAAATAGATACCCTAACTCTTAAATAGGTCTAGCCACCACTGTAAAAGATAAATTAAAAAAAAATTAAAAGCGTATTGGAAAATAATTTCTAGAACGAGTAAAAATAAATTGAGAATCATGTTTGGATCTTTAACTACTATTTCGTCAACTGATATTTGCAAATCCATGAAAAATTGGAAAAGTTTTAATTCCAATATTTTTTTTATTAATTAATTATGTAGCTGAATTTTTTTTTTTTTTTATTTTATTTTTTTTGCGAATCGTTTGACATTCTGTTTCTAGACGGATAAATTTTTGAAGTTAATTTATACCATTCACCAGGCCCGAGAAGGTGAAGAGAGAGAGAGAGAGCGCACTTAGGCTTTGATTGGGTTCTCGAAGATTTGGGTTTAAAGCAATGGACCATATTTAATTGGGTCAGATTTTAGATGGGCCGGAAAAGAGTTAATTTAAGCTTCTTTCTGTCGATGTTTTCGCTGTTTTTTTTTTTAAGAAATTATTAGAAAGGACAAAAGCCAAAAAAAAAATTGAATAAAAAATTAGAAAAATAGAAGAAAGGAAAAAACACGTTTAAATATTTTTGCTTTTTATTTATGTTTTTACTTTTTTATAAAAAAAAATTAAAAGACCAAAAGTATAAATATCTACCAACCAAAATTTTACTTCATGATGTTTTAATTTTTTAATAAATCTTTTTTTTTGTTGCAAATAAAGGTTAGTGACCTTACAAGTGGAGGAAAGGGAATGACGAGGTAGAACCCATGTCTTACATGACTTTCAATTGACCTCTTAGCTGTTAGACTAAGAGGAAAAAGTCAATAAATCTTTCATATAACATTTGTCTTTTATCTTTTGTTTTTTTTTTTTTTTTTTTTTTTGGCCCTTATAGGCAATAGCTAATTTAGCCTGGTGACTTATGAGAATAGTACTACATTTGGGATCCCCGATCAAATGTGTCATTATATTATATTATATTATAATTTAATATTGGATTTTACCATTCTACTTCAACTTTATTGAATTTTTCATTATTTGGTTGATTTTTTTATAAAAAATAATAAAATTAAAATATTTCACAAAATTTTTGGTTAATTCAAAAACAACATTTGTGGAATCATTAGTCCATTAAATAATAATCCATATAATAAAACAGATAAATCCCAAAGAAGTAGCAATTAATTGACGTCAACAAAAATTGTTGCTAGTTATAATGACATTGCAAGAATATGGCAGCCAACATCCACCTTCATTGAAATCTATTTCCATGGAAGGTTTTAGACAGCGTACTTGAACAGTAGGCGGTAGAATAACCTCCCTTTGGAATAGCAAGGTTCCTCACCTCAACACTCAATTGATCGAATCCGGCAACGTTCTAAGGGAACTTTTTTTTTTTTAACTTTCAATATTCAGATCCCTACAGACAGGCCTGTAAGTTGCGCTTTCTAGTGCGGTCTCCGTCCTCTTAATCTGCTTAAGTAATTTTCTATACTAGTTAAAACTAGTATGTCGTCTAGTCTAGTTGAGTAAGGTAAGTTTACTTATTTCTTCTCATTAGCTGTTAGTAACGTAGCTAACTTCCGTAATTCCAGTAGTATTCAGTATCAGAACAGAGAGAAAGGAAGAAGATGAATTTTGCGAAGACATGTGGTACATGAAACGAACACATGAAAACTGACAACTTTTGTTTAAAACACAGAATTACACTATGCAAAACAGCAGTAGTTTAACTTGCAATTGAGGAGAAAAAATAATTAGCAAAACACGCCTGTTGATGAAGAAGGCCTTGCCACCTGAAGAGAAACTGGATCCCATTCCCGCAATAGCAAATTTTAACAGCAATCACTTCTAACTGATGTGCACCACCAACAGAAACAGAGGATTCATCGATACCTAATCATCTTGCTGCTACTGCTTTAAATCGATACGTTCTGCCCTAAAGCCGATAACCTGACCTAATACAGATGACGCAATGATAAAAGCCATAGCTGTCTCAGGCATCAAGACAGATTTCCTAAGCATGGCTATGAAAGGAACAGCTGCAAACCAAGATGGTGAGAATTTTTCAGCATGTTCCCTCCATATCCCTGAAGGAACATTTGCTGCCATGCTTAACATCCCTATCACCAGTACTTTTGTGGGCAAGGATTGAGGGCGGAGGTTCTTGGCAAAGGCAGTTTGTGCAAGTGCTGCCTGGGCTGCAATCACTGCAGGCGGGCACCTGAATTTCATCCCTGGAGGTGGCTGAAAAACCTTCGCAACAAGTGGCAAAACACCACCAACGGCCCTATATAACTTTGCAATTGGACATTTTCCATTTTGCCGCGATTCATTGCCCAATGCTTCATGATTGGAATTTCCTCCCTGAAACATCAGCGTAAAAAGATGTCAACAAAAGAAAGTTTCAAAATAATCAAAATAATAATCCAAAATCTTTAAGACATTTGATGATTTTTCTAAGTTTAAAAACATAGGTCTGAAGTCCAAACTATTGTCAGCAAATAAATGGATACAGTCCATAAACAGAAGTTCAATTAACTGTAAAGAAGGCACTTTCTTGGATGGTTTTGATTTTCCTTTTCGATTGTTTCACTTATTAAAAAATCCATCAAAACTACCATACAGTATTGAAGTCACAATTTCTAGATTTAAGGCGTGTTAATGTAACCTGGAAAGACTATACAATATTGAAGTCATAGTTTCCAGATTTTGATCTTTGGGGACAAAGGTTTGGTGAAGGGAAGGGTATTGTGACGAGCTTGAAGGAAAAGAGCAAGAACGGTATGAGCAAGGATATGGTAGAGACTATGGCAAAGAATAAGAAGGAATCATTGAAAGAGAAGCTGAAAACTACCAACAGAATAAGTGAATACGAGAAGGAATATGGTGATGTCAGTTATTAATCTATTGGTTAGGAATATTAATAGTGATGTCAGTTGCTAATCTATTGGCTAGGAATACTTTTGTATTTTTCACTTTTGTAACAGTTCCATAATTGTTGTATTTAAATAATTCATTGGCTGTAACTAATTTTCATGAATGGAAAAGATATTTTCTCTTTTCAATTCTTCTCTGTTTTCCTTTTAGTTTTCTCAATTTTCTTCATTCTCTTCAATTCTCTTCTTAGTCTCTAAAACCCTAACCAAGTCACAACTAAGTCATCACAAATTGGTATCAAAGCATGTTACGATCCCATATTAACACTGGGAAAGAGTAGGAAACCATTCTTCATGACTGAAGGGACTTGGTTGAATAGCTTGCATGAATAAGTCAAAAAATCTTAAACGTAGTTGAAGGACATGAAGGCAACATAGACCTCCATGTCAAAAATGTAGGAAGATCAAAACAAGGAGTTGAAAATCAAAATGGTTGAGAATTACAATAGTTTGACCAAAATGCTAGAATCCTTACTATAAAAAGGGAATCTCCAACCCAGCTAGATCTAGGAGGAAATGAGCATATTGGCAGTTGCCATTTGGCTTCGTTGGTGCAAACCAAAAGAGAGGGTAAGAATTATTGATGAATATAATAAGTTTAACTATAAGCCTGATGATCCAAAGTTATTACCAAAACTTCAGCAGAACAGTAACTTTAATAATATACATAATAGCATGATGATAGGCAAACATATTAAAGCTTCACCTCGAATTAGCAACCCCTAAGCTTAAATGCCTTTATCGTCAAAAATCAAACTTCCATTATTCGAAGTGAGAATCCTAGAGGATGGCTAAGAAAATGTCAGAAATGTTTCACCATTTTTGGAGTGTTAAACCATTAGAAAATGAAAATAGTTACTATGTATTTAGATGGTAGAGTAGAAATCTGGTTTGATGGATACTTAATGCAAAAACAAAGATTTACTTGGCAGAAATTTTCTAATGATTTCTGCCAAAGATTTTATGACAAGACCTATTCAGATATGATTGAGGAATTCAACAAGCTAACTCAAAAGGCCACAGTAGAAGAATATTAAGAAAAATTTGAAAGCTCAAGCCATTCGAATAACCCCTATTTGGATGAGTTATATTTTGTGTCTAGTTTTATAAATGGCCTAAAGAAAGATCTCAAACCAAGAATTAAAGCTAGTGACCCTCTGACTTTGGTAGCAGCCTGTAGGCAAGCTAAATTACCCCTGCTAGCCTTGGAAATTGAATACAAAAGAAACAAACCACCTACTAAGCCAAGTTTAACCAATAGCACCTATACTCTTTTCAAGAACCCTTATAACCCTTGGTCCCAACCACAAAAAGTCACCCCCAATACAACATCAACAATACAAAAGCAAACTTTCATGAAGCAGAGAAGATTACGAAACCTATGTTTTAAATGTGGTGAAAAATTCTTTCCTAGCCATATTTGCAAGAACAAGTAATTGAACTCCATCATGGTGGAAGAATTTTCAAAAGAAAGAAAGGATAATGAGGAATCAATTAACAATGGTCAGGATATCCATAATGAAGCTGACCAAGGGGATAATAATTTGGAAATCTCTATCAATGCTCTAATAAGTAGCACTGGGTGAAATGTACATGATTAATGGGAAGTGTGATGATGTGGAAAGGCAAATAGCAAAAATGTTGTCTTTCTCTATCATACAAACCAACAATAGCCTATTTGCTTTTCTATGTTTGTTAGTCAAGAAAAAGGATGGCACCGGAAGGATATGTATTGACTATAGATAATTGAATACAGTGACAGTGAAAAATAAATTTCTTATACCTATAGTGAAAAACCTCCTAGATGAGTGAAAAGAGCCTACTACTTCTCAAAAATAGACTTCAGATAAAGATATTGGTAGATATCAGTGAAAAAAGATGACATTCACCAAACAACCTTTAAAACTCACCTTGGCCATTACGAATTTAAGGTAATGCCATTTGGACTTACTAATGCACCTATAACCTTTCAATCTCTCATGAATGATATATTTGCTCCTTACTTGAAAAACTTTATGCTGTATTTTTTTATGATATTCTTGTTTATAGTTCTAACTTGAGAGAACATGCAAAACATTTAAACATTGTATTTGCAATACTGAGAAAGAACAAACTATGTGCAAAAAAAAGTAAGTGTTTTTTTGGTCAAAGATAGGTTGAATATTTGAAGCATAAAATATTAGATAAAGGGGTATCTATAGATCATGTTAAGGTAGAAGCAATGCAAAATTGACCACAACCTAAGAGCCTTAAATCTTTGAAGGGATTTCTTGGATTGACTGGATATTATAGAAAGTTCATAAAAAGCTATAGGGAGATCACTAAGCCACTACAAATATGCTTAAAAAAATGAGTTCAAGTGGACACCTACAACAATATCAGCTTTCAATTGACTCGAGAAGGCCATGTGTTATGTCCCCTGTCATGACTTTACCTAATTTTAATAAACCTTTTATATTAGAAACTGATGCTAGCAACAATGGGATCAAAGCTGTTTTATCCCAAGATGGAAAGCCAATAGCTTACTTAAGCAAGGCTCTATGTACTAGACACAAAGACCTTTCTATTTATAAAAAAAAGTATCTAGCCATACTAATGACAATAACAAAATGAGACACTATTTGTAAGAAAAATTGTTCATTATCAAGACAAATCATGAAGCTTTAAAACATTTGCTTGAGTAGAAGTTGACTACCACCATTTAAAAAAAGAACTAACCAAATTACTTAGGTTGGATTACTTTATACAATATAGAAAGGGCAAGATGAATATAAAAGCAGATGCCTTATCCAGGTAGCATGAGGAAGAAGCACAAAGCTATAGCTTGCAATCAATTACATTTATACCAGATTTGGTGAAAGAGATCGAGTATAGCTATATTGGTGATATAGTGGCATATGAGCTAATTAAGGTTTCTATCATCCATTCTCTTAATAATTTTTGCTATTCATTCAACAATGGAGTTTTGATATTTAAATGAAAAGTGTATATAGGTAATAATGGGTAGTTAAGAGAGAAAATTTTGCAAGCCTTACATAATTCACCTCAATAGGGCATTTAGGAATTCAAGCTACCTACCATAGACTTAAACTAAATTTTATTGGCCTGGGATAAAGAAATAAGTATGTGAGTATATCTAACAGTGTGATACCTGTTAAAGGAATAAATATGAGCATGTTCCTTATCCTAGTCTTTTATAGCCAATTCTTATACCATAGCAAGCCTGGGATGTAATCAGTATGTATTTTGTTGAAGAGTTACCCTTATCTAAAAAATTTAGCTATATCATGGTGATAATGGATAAATTCACTAAGTATAGTCACTTTCTTCCTTTATCCCATCATTTTACAACTATGAAAGTAACTAAAATATATCTTAGCCAGTTCATAAACTACATGAAACTCTAAAAATTGTTATTTCTAATAGGGATTTAGTTTTCACTAGTCTATTTTAGTAAGAGTTGATAAAATTATTGGGATCCATAATTCATTTGAGTATAGCTTACCATCCAAAATTTGATAGGTAAACTGAAAGGGTTAATCAGTGTTTGGAGCAATATTTACAGTGTATGAGTTTTCTCAAACCTAAGAGTTGGGTTCAATGGTTACCATTAACCGAATGGTGGCATAATACAAGCTATCACACTTTTTTAAGAATATCTCCATTTCAGGCTTTTTATAGTTACAAACTAACAACCTTAGCATATGATGTAAGTAGTTAAGAAAAAGTGGCAAATATGAAAAAGTTGCTGAAAAATAGAGAACAAGTCAGTAGGTTGATGGTTGATCAATTGAATAAAGCTGAACAAAGGATGAAATTTTATGCTGACAAAAAAAAAAGTAAAAGAGAGTTTGAGGTGAGAGATAAAGTGTATTTAAAACACCAGCCCTACAAACAAACATTTTTTGACCCTTCGAAAGAGTTTAAAACTTTCATCTACATATTATGATTTGCATCCCATATTAGTCAAGATTGGTTCAATTGCTTATAAATTACAGTTACCTTCTACATCTAAGATTCATCATGTATTTCATGTCAGCTTATTAAAAAAGAAGTTAGGAAACAATGTAGTTCTCAGCCTAGCTCCATAAAAAACCAATAAAGATGGGCAGTCGCTTATATATCCTGCTACTATGATTGATAAATGAATGGTTAAGAGGCACAATAAGACTGTTACCCAACTCCTAGTGGTAAGATCTATTTTAAGGCCTAATAATGTAACCTGAGAAGACTATACAATATTAAAGTCACAGTTTTTAAATTTTGATCCTTGGGGTCAAGGATCTAGTGAAAGAAAAGGTATTGTGATGAGCTTGATGGATAAGAGCAAGAGCGACATAAACAAGACTAAGACAAAGAATAAGAAAGAATCACTAAGAGAGGAGTTGAAAACTTGCAATAAATGGGTGAATACGAGAAGAAATATCGTAATGTCAATTATTAATCTATTGACTGGGAACACTAATGGTGATGTCAATTACCAATCTATTGGCTAGGAATACTTTTGTATTTTTCACTTTTGTGATAGTTCAACAATAGTTGTATTTATATAATTCATTGATTGTAACTGACTATCATGAATGGAAAGGATATTTTTTCCTTTCAATTTTGTTGTCTTTTTAGTCTCATTAATTCTCTTTTTAGTCTTTAAAACCCTAACCAAGTCACAACTGAATCGTAACAAACCCGTAAAGTATAATATTGAAATCCTAACAATCCAGTTAATAAGAGCTATTAGGTAAATCAACATATTTCAATAAAAATCATAAATTTCCTTTTACAAGAATACTCACATGGAACCTAAATAAGAATTCTCATAAATTACTAAAATAAATCATTAATTACTATATAAATCCTTCACAAACAATAGTTAAATAGAATTTCATATATAAAACCCTCCAAAAATTTAAACTTAAAACCCAAAATTGTTCAAATGCAAAAAAAAAAAAAAGTATATAAAAATCTAGAAAACATGAAAAAAAAAAAATTCAACCCATTAAGGCTAAGAAAACCAAAATTCAAAAACAAACACATCCAAAAAAGAAAAAGTGGTCTTTAAGAGAAAATGAAAAGAAAGGAAACAAAGAAAGGAACCAAATGAAAAAGCAAGAGTTGGGTGGAAATGAAGAGAATTTAAAACATAAGATTACGATTTATTATTATTTTAGTTGCAATAAAAAATACAAAGAGAATTATAAAGACCAAATGCTCAAATTAGGATCAAACGTTAGGTAGTTGCTCAATTCAAGACCAAACATTTTAATTTGTACAAATAAGAATCAAACGTTATCGACTTATAATAATGTAGGATTTATTTAAACGAAAAATGAGATGTGTATGTTACACACCCTAATAATGCGTAAAAAGAATATGAATAAGCTAATTAGACAAATTTCATGCTGATTTAGATTTTTTTTATTACTATCTGGAAAAAAAATGAAATGAAAAGTTATTTAGAAAAAAAAATTACATTTAACCCAATAAAAAAAATTCCCAAACCCAAAGTAAATTGTCTTTAACCTTAATCATCTAGACAAATTATTTCAATCACTGATTCAATTTCAATAACTAATTTCTATGAGGTAAACATTATTCAACAATCTATTTTGGGTAACCAACATTCGGTTCAATCGATTACACTTTAAAAATTGATTTTGTTTAAGGTTCAATCATTTGGGCTCCTAAAATTTGGAAGGTTAGTTATTTTTATGTTAAATTTGTGTAAGGTGAATAATATGGTGAATAATATGTATGCATTTTTTGGGTTTTGTTGTTCTTCATAGTTAGCCATTTTGTGTTAAAGGTTTTCTATTCTTTTTCATAGGTAGGCATACTCTAGTTTAGGGTTTTCTATTGTTGTTCTTAATTGCTTAAAATTATAGTTAGGGTTTTCTACTATTTAGGCATATTCTAGTATGTGATTGATCATGATTGTTTAATTGTTTATGTAATATTTTGATTCTTATCCATCACTTAGGCCTCCACTAATGCTAGCATAAATGATTACTTATCACTGTTGCCCTAATTTATAGTATAAGTGCAGCCAATTAATCAACATAAAAATAAATGTTATTTTATAAAATAAAAAAAACCCAACAATTCATAGTAGTTAAGATTTTAAATAGGTTAAATTTAGGATTGAAAACACTTACAACCTAAATTTGATTTAGTAATTAAGCAATTGAGTTAAAAGGTTAGAATTAAATCTTTACCTCACTACCTGACCAAAAATATTTCAAATATATACACCAAAAACCTAACTTTCAAAACGTCTCCTAAAATTTTAGTCAAGTCTGATATAAATTTCAACTACATCAATTCAAAAACAAAATTATAAGAAGGATAGCCACAGAAATAACCACAAATCACCAAAAAAATAACCAAGCTTATGTATAAGCATATTCATAACCTTAAGTCCACTTTACAAATTATCTTGCAAAAAATATTACTACAAAACAACATCAAGTTAATGATATGAATTCTAATTTTAAAAACAAAATAACATAAGAAAAACATGTTAAACTTTTGAGCTACGATGTGCACATAAAATACCTATTGTAAAAAAAAATTGTATTTTAGAAAAAAACCATTGGTTATAACAATGTAAAAGCTTATAACAAAAATTTTATAACAAAGTAAAAGCTTATAACATAAATTTTATAATAATGTAAGGGACATGCACATTTAAACTAACTGCAATTTTCATTGTCAGGGATTTAGGGTTTTTTATAACACTTATAACATAAAATTTTGTTGAAAATGACTCTTATAACACTTATCAATTATTGTTGGATAACTATAGAACTAGCCACAAAATCACCAGAAAGATAACCAAGCTTAAGTATAAGTATGTTCACAACCTGAAGTCTACTTTATAAATTATCTTGCCAAAAATATAACTAAATAATAGCATCAAGTT